TTGTTTCTTTTTTGAGAGTTATTGTCACTCTGCTCTGCTGTCTTTACGTCCTTTTCGTAACAAATAGCGTATGATAACGATCTTCGTTTTTCATATCACTGATGAAGGCTTAAGCATTAGCCGAAACGTCTGTTTCAAAAATATAAATAACAACAGTCAGTGGCAACCAATTCCTATAAAACTCAAGTAACTATGTGAGTCTGTAGGTTTGTAATACAAACTAGTGCATAAACCGTTGCCTTCAACTGAAACTTTGATGTCTAAAAAGGATAAATAATTGTCGGAAATTTCCCAGGTATCATTTAGAGCCGGGTGAAAGGAATTAACTGCGGTTATGAATTGAGTTAGCTCTTTTCTGGTAAAGGAGGTAGCACCGATACAGTCGTCAATGTAGCGATCGTAGAGTTCAGGTTTGGGGCCGTTGTATCGGCTGAAAAATTGGTGTTCGACAAAACCTCAGCTACAAAGACTGGCATAGCTGGGTCCACAAAACCTACAGAAAGATTGGCAGAGCTTCCTTCTCAGAGAAACGCCTCTTTGCAAACTGTTTTCTTCAGTTTTTTATATATATATATAAGCTGCAAGATAACCACTTTCTCTACAAATCAGAATGTAGAATTCGCAATACAAGTGTAATTGTTAAACAGCAGTCTTCCAAGACCTTCAATTTAAATTGTGTTGTTCCTCAGGGGAGCTGTTTAAGACCTCTCCTTTTTTTTTTTTTAATTTCTATTCTATGCATCAAGGCTGTTTGAGGTTGTCAAGAGGCACCTTCCATAAGTTCATGGGTATGCTGATGATACTCAGTTGTATGTGTCGTTTCGTCCAGATTCGTTTGCTGCTCAAGATCAAGCGACTAAGGCTATTGAGAACTGCATAGCTGATGTTAGGGCTTGGTTAGTCTCACACAGGTCGATGTTTAATGACTCAAAGACAGAATTTGTAGTCATCGGTTCGTCGCAGCAGTTATCTAAGGTTACCATTCCTTCAATTAAAAGTGGGTGACTGTGACATTCAACCCCTTAAACATGTTAGAAACCTTAGCGCATGGTTTGATAACCATATGTCTATGAATACTCATATAGGAAAGGTGTGTAGCAAGGCATTTTGGGGGCTTTATAATATTAGGCAAATTAGGAAATATTTGTCTGCAGAATCATGCGTTTGTTACATCACATTTAGATTATTGCGATGCTCATTTGTACATGCTTCCGCGATATCAAAATGATCGACTTCAAAAAGTTCTTAATGCGGCGGCTCGGGTTACATGCTTAATTCCTAAGTCTGCTGATATTACTCCGGTACTTAGGGAACTTCACTGGTTGCCGGTGAAATTTAGAGTAGAATTTAAGATTGCGCTTTTAGTTTTTAAAACGTTGAATGGCCTGGCACCAAAATATTTATCTGAACTACTTGTTGTAAAGCATAGAACTAGATACAGCCTGCGGTCTGATTCTGAATCATTGCTGCTAATCCCTGAGGAAAACATTTGGCGATCGAGCCTTTTTCCATGCTGGACCAACAGTATGGAATGCCTTGCCATCTAGTCTTAGAAACTGTGGGAACATTGACTCTTTTACAGTACAGTTGAAGACTTATCTTTTTAAGAAAGCTTTTAATTTGTAATTTTATATTCTTATTACTAGTATTATTAATGCCATCTAGCCTTAGATACTATATGAACTTTGACTTTTTTAAAGTACAGTTGAAGACTTATCTTTCTTCTTAAGAACGCTTTTCAGTAATATTGTAGAGCCCTTTAGTATATTTTAATAGTTAAAGCGTTATATCAAATGTAATAAATTATTATAATTGGGAACTCTAGTGAAACATTCCCTAGTTTTCACGGTACCGTACATCACACTGTACTGAGATGTTGTTAAGGTATTAAACTGTTAGGTTCATTACTGCTGGGCCTGTAGAACTACCTCCGGAAACAGTTCCGAACGACTCAAAAGAGCTTCAAACTAGTCTGCGTGCCAGTGCATGTCAGCTTCGAATCCAAGGGAGGGGGGCTGGTACGGTAATCCAGTGCATGTCAGCTTCGAATCTAAGGGAGGGGGGCTGGTACGGTAATCCAATACATGTCAACTTCGAATCCAAGGGAGGGGGGCTGGTACGGTAATCCAGTGCATGTCAACTTCGAATCCAAGGGAGGGGGGCTGGTACGGTAATCCAGTGCATGTCAACTTCGAATCCAAGGGAGGGGGACTAGTACGGTAATCCAGTGCATGTCAACTTCGAATCCAAGGGAGGGGAGCTGGTACGGTAATCCAGTGCATGTATGCAGGGTGTGTATAGTGTCAGGTTAAAAGGGTGATTTACGGAACCACGAGGAGGGTTTCATGGAAACTTGAATTGTTTATTGCAATTGCATCGAGTCGATTCCTTTGAGAATTTCACCCCTCTACTTTTCCACAACAATTTTGCATGAGCACGCGCAGATTTGACTCTTGCGTCCCAATTTTCTCATCCTAAGTTTTGAACAGACTGGCCGTGTTTTAATAGCTTTATTTATAATATGTATGAAAACAGATTTACATCCTACCTGACATGTACATTGCTATACAAAGTTACTGAGGTTTTATTAACCCTATAAACCCTAAGAGTGACCAAATTCTAATTTCTCCTTACAATAATATTGCTGAATCATTCATTATGATTACGAGAATATTGGAAATGATCCCCAACCTGAGAGGCTTTGAAACAAATTCTCCATGTCAGTACGAAAAGAAATGTATAGTCTCGTGGATACTGATTTATAGAGAATATGAATACTATTGTTAGGGCGTAAGGGGTTAGTTACAGAGTTAGCAAGATCATCGACAGTTATTTCATTCTTCGTCAAAATTTTTACACTGCTGGTTTCTCTTGTTCTGGCGCGACTCTTTGGACCAGCGTGACTCATTGGACCAGCCAAAGAACCACTCGTCCAAGTCACATGAGAAACGATCACAGTGCCCACCTAGCCATCACACCTGTTGTGATCACGAAGGATCACACCAATTGTCGTATGGGAAGAACTAGCATATTTAAGGGCTAAATTAATTTTGTTATTAGAAATACACTTCTATTTTTCATTACCACATGCTGAACGATCAACAAGAAACGGATAACGAGCATTAGTTACTGAAAATTCTGAACAGGTAAACTTTTCTTGGAATTAAATACAACAAAAATATGATACAGTACTATTAATACTTCAAAAATGTTGGTAACTGATTAAAATACTTAAGTGATCTTGCATCCATGTTTGTAAATCATGGTTTCGCTATACATTTATCCTGTTTCGTTGGTCTAAAAAATTTTAACATAATTCATAATCAAGGAGGTAACAAGTCATCAAGCTACAAAATCAATTAATTTATAGGCCAAATGAGTCATGAATCGAACTATAATAATAACCACTAAGTACCTATAACTATAATAATAATATAACTATAACTATAATAATAACTATAATAATAACCACCTTGCACCTGATTGTCGTTTTTCAGTTGTCTTAACGTACAGCATAAGAATTGTGTATTTTGCTGTCCGTACTGAGTAACAGATCAAATTTGATTCCAAACAAACCGAGGAAAAACAACGACAACAACAGCGAATTTTGAAATTCATTCATCGTTGCGGTGAACCCTATTTTTGTGAAAAAAGATGTCTAGAGATTCATGGAACTCATTTGACTTATAAAACATCAGAACGAACAAACCACATATCTAAATTTGTAACGGTTATAAGTCTTTTATTTATGTACAAGGTCTCCAGCTCAACACATTTCCAAATAAGGTAACCTTTGTCTATTTTGGTTCTTAGTCTTAAGTTAAAATAAAATTTCCTCAGTCTGGGGAGGACATGAGTTTATAATAGCATAAATAATATAACTTGGAAAATAAGCGCAAAAAGTGGCTTTTTCCCCTGAGATGAAGTTATTCACAAACTTGGGATGTCTTCTTTGCGAAGCATTAGTTGGGTCGTCACGCAATCTATTCAGGAAAGTGAGAAGTGCGTGATAACTGAAATAACGGTATCTACAAAATAAGACTTAGTCAAGAGAACCTACAGTACAATAATGTCCTTGATTCTAAATTAATACCATGTAAACCGAACGTTTCAAGTCAATAATTCTCTCCTCACCGAAGGATATAAAATTACGTTGGAGAGCAAACTGCTCTACTTTCATCAGTTAAAGTAACTGTTTGGTACATTTGCGTTTTATGCGGTCTATGTTTCGACTTACTTGCGGCGGAAAAAAGGGATTCATAAGATTCTTTCACCCTCTTTTTGATCCAGTGCTCCGGGATCTGAATGCCAACATTCTACCACCGATTTGTTGGACGGCAGGTAGCTAGTTGATAAGTGTCTTGTCTTCGCTATAATTACGGAGGATTGAGCGCGTTTTGTGACTAACGGCTTTCTGCGATCGAATCACCAGCCCATTCTCGAAGACGGGAACAAATCTCGGAAAAGGGGGATCTATCCGACGGGTTTTCGTCCCAACACTCTCGCATCAGACCGAACATGCGGGCAGGGCAATGGTCCGGGCAAGACAGTAATTGCAGATTCCGTATTCGCTCAATAGCTTCCTGATTAGTGAACCCGGTGTACGGCTGGCATCCAAAGGTATACATTTCCCACAGTAAAACCCCATACGACCAAACGTCCGTCATATCATTAAACTTCAACGTATTGAGCGCTTCCGGTGCCATCCACCGTACCGGAAGTAAAGCGCTACTGTGCACCCAGGAGTAATCCGAGGGGTATTTGTGGCTTCCGATTCCAAGGTTTGATATTTTTATTATGTTGTCTGCAGTGACGTAACAGTTTCTGGCAGCAAGATCTCGGTGAACGAAATGATTCTCAACAAGGAAGTCCATACCAGAAGCAATTTGCAACGAAAAGTCCAATAACAGATCGTATTCAGAGATATCAGATGGTATCAACCCTGATAACTTGGATGCGTTGTCCACTAAGAATCGATATAGATCCATGTCACCAAAATACTCGAACATCATGAAGTGCGGATCTTCGCCTTTAGACAATCCGAACATACAAAGAATGTTAATGTCCTGTAGATTGGCCAGGGTGTTCGTGTCCTTCTTAAAGTTGTCTACAGCAGCTTCAGGTACGTCGGCTTTGAGACGTTTGATGGCGATTTCCACACCGGTATCGTCCGAGTCATCTTTTAAAAGCACTCCTCTGCACACCTTGGCAAAAACGCCCTCCCCCAGACCCTCAAGAAAATTCACTTTGCCACTCTGTAACATTTGATCTTGCTAAAATATAAAATCAAAATATGGTTCACCTCAGTTTTAACGCCAATTTCAAACACTAAGAAAACATTCAGCGAAAGGAAGTTGCTGTCATTCTATACATGAAAGGTATTTTTTGGGGGGTATGCACAAGTTTCAACCCTTCAGCCTCCAAAAGTAGTCAACATGAAACTTCTTAAAGTTTAAAAAACACTCTCGGACAAACAGGTGAGGAAAATAGATGAATGTATTAACTGGAGGGTGTAATCTTGATGTAACACAAAATTCTCTTGACTGATTGATAAGGAAAATGAGAAAAATCGGGGAGAGAGAATTGTTGATCAGGTCAACGGGGATGAACGCAAAGTAAACGAAAAACATGTTCAGAACCGCGAAAAACGTTCAAAATGCGTTAATTGTTGACTAACCTGATGGAAGACGCATGACTTGATCTCACTGATGCTTTGCTTCAGATCAAAACTCTGTTGCTGCATTGTACTCTGGGTACTCTGTTGCTGCATTGTACTCTGGGTACTCTTAGAGATGGACCCAGAGGAGGCGTGGTCACTCTCTGCAAGAGCACTCTTACGCTGCTGTACTTTAAGATACACAAAGATTGACAGGAATGCCACGATCAAAACGGCCATTATGGCGGAAATGACGTAATTGGTACGAGCGTCCGAACCAGCACCTTTATGGGGTTGTTTAGGGACTGTTTTCACTGCAGCATCTGAATAGAACAGGATCATAATCAGCAACGCGTAAAAAATTCATAAAAAATAATATCTTCATTATTATGGATCAAGGTCAGTATCCGAGCAACTCCGCACTTACCCCTCCCCTAACCCAAGAACTGATAGCAAGTAAGGGTTAATGTTAGAATAGGGGAGGGGTAGGCGCGGAGTTTCTCAGATACTGACATCCTAATCATTTTCATTCTGACTATCGTACCGCCTGCTACAACTCAAAACTTGTCCAGAGACTGTCAAGTGAAGGCCCTAAAGGAGGTAATGACTTACTCAACGAAGAGCACTGTTTAATGTCACAATATTCCACTTCGTATTTCGGTCCAACATGACACCATGGTTGTGCTTTACGTCCTTCAGGGTTGCGGCAGAAGTTGTGACCTGGGGGGTCCATAGAACGCCACACGCGGCAGGGGCGCCCAGACTTCGTGACGTTCCTTGTACCCGAGTATGTTTCACCAGTACCATTATAGCAAGAGTCACCTGAAACATCAACAATCACTTCCTTTAAAATATGATCCAAAAAGAAAGCAGATGAATTATGTACCAATGTACCAACGAGAATCAGTATCAATTGTAAACTTTCTTATAAAAGAACACATGTTTTATTCACGCAGTCGCTTCTACAGAAATATTTTGTGACGGAGAGAGATGTGTTGTAGTAAAACAGAGATTGAATCCCGCTTAGGGAATCAAAACGCACAAACTGAGCCGTGCCCAGCGGTGTCACTGCAACGTGTTACCAACCTTGAATATAAGGAGGAGGAATGGTTGGAGAGGTCTGAGACAGACCTAAACCAAACAAAAAGGAAGCAATGCGTCAAAATTATAAAGGAATAATTGAAGACAGACGTTGAACGAAATGTGGGGTAACTACTTTTGCATTTATGTTTACAATTCCAACTCAGTGTAAAGCACCTCGATACGAAGTAAACCAATATTGTCCTCAACTCATTGTCCTCTTAACACTTCCAATAGGTGAAAAAAAACACAACTTGCCGCCAAGAACGTAGCATAGCTAACACTTTTCTTTTATGTTTACATTTCTACATGTAAAGCGTCTCGAGACGAAGTAAACCATTATTGTCCTTAACTCAGTTTCCTCTCAACAATAGTCCTTTTAACAGTTGTGGGCTTGGTGGCCAAGCCTTTGAACAGGAGTGAGGCTATGGGTGACCTTGTTATGATAGAGATGTTGCTGCTTTTCAAATGCAAATTTCTTTGTTCTCATGCTAACTGGACACAGGTCTCTATCACAACAGGGTCACCCTTAGCCTCACTCCTGTTCAAAGGCTTGGCCACCAAGCCCACAACTGTTAAAAGGACTATTCCAATGGGTGGGAATAAACACAATTTGACGCTTTTCATATGATGATCTGTGCATGCTCGCATGTTCAAGTTTATGGCAGGGTACTTGCCAATAATGTTTTTTGTTTACCGTTAAGTATTAAACGAGAGGAATCTAAAAATGTTAGTACAACCGAGTAGTCTCGAAACGATAAACGGCAGAGAAACGCACTGCACTGACCTGGAATATTAAGCGAAGTGCAGTAGGAATAATCTTTATCATTGCGTGTTGGAAGAGCGGAACAGTTTGGAAGCAGAACTCTAAAGTGAGGGACACTCATCGCAAACTGAAGTTCCATCAAACAAATGTCTTCAGACAAGGCAAAGCAGTCCTCGCGACACAGCCGATGCTTGAAGTTCTGAGTTGAGGTATCACACGTGGGGAAAACGTGAAAACACAACGCAGGAGTACCATATTTACTGCACCTGTTAAAACAACAGGAATATGTTCATCTTTTAACCTTTTAGATGTCTTTGGGGGAGAGAGGAGGGGTGTGTGTGTGTGCGCGCGCGCGCGTGTGTGCGTGCGAGTGTGTTTGTGCGTGTATGTGTGCGTGTGTTTGTGTGTGCGTGTGTGTCTGTGTGTGAACGAAAAATCATTTCCGAATAAAATATCAAACAAGGCTTTGACTAAGGACGAGTTTTTTCACTTTTCTTATAGTAAATTTGTTCTGCATACCTATCAGTCATCTGATGAAGTGCCTGTATCGTTCCCAGAGCCCTTGACAACTCTCTTTCAATATTTAGCTGATAAACTGATCGATATTCAACCCAGATGCTTTGATTACCAATATACTGTGCACAGGCTTTACCGCGGTATTTCTCACACATGCCCGGGAATGGAGGAAGTGACCTAAAACACAACAAGCAACATTCACGAAATTTTCATGGCAAACAATCTTCCCCGAAATAAATGAGCTTGCGGTTTACTTCTTAGAAGTTGCTAAGCAACATAATGTATCATAAGGACGACCATGTGACTATAAAGTTGAAAGAGGTTCCAAGTTCTAATTGGATAACACGAAAGAAATACAGTAGCAAATCAAAGTTTTCCAATATGACCAAAACCTCATGTAGAAATGTTTTTATCGTTCAACATTTTTAAACATGGATCAACAGTTATTTGTGAAAAAATGGAAATTTTATGCTCGATTTTTCGCATAAGTTTTGTAATTTTCTCCTCTAGTCTGAATTCCAATATCCTTCAAGTCTTTTTTGTTGTTGTTGTTGTTGTTTTTTAGCTAGTTGTTGACCTGTCACTTACTTAGGTGTTGTTGCGTCTGGAAGATTACCTCCTGTTGCCAAAAATAAGAAAACAAAAAGCAAAAATATGTTAACTCTTTGAACGATGTTGTGATTTCCTGATATAAGAATCACAAAAAGTCAACAAGGACATGTCAAAATCGAAAAATACAGTGCTCTGGGTTCTTTCCTGCAGTGTTTTAATACTTGTTTAAACAAGGCCAGTGCTCGCTATTTATATGTGGTAGTGCTCTCTCAAATTCCAATTTAATTTACGATCAATTTATTTCTCATTTCTTTTAAAAATTTGGATCATTCGTTACATTACAAGAGAACATACAAGGCTTGAAATAAAGGCGTACAAAAACGTTTCACTCTATAAACATTATGTCTATGTCGATTCTGACACCACTCTATATAAACCCACGTTCAAAAGTCACTACCTTCTTGTTGGGTAGTCGGACGATTCTTCTTGGTAACTAACGAAATAGAAAGGAGAGAAAACAAATTGAAAACTTGTGCCATATATCTTATAATAAGTTCACTAATTCTACATTTTTAGTTCCTAAGATGGTCTACAATGACAAGAGAAACACTATTGTTTCTCAAAAAAAAATAGCGATTTCGAGCGTTTCCTTTAAAAACGACATTTCCCTCCGATCCTATTGAACTAAAAATTGCGCTTATACTAAATCGAGTTAACACCTGTTGATTCGAATCCCTTCAGAGCGGTGGGAAGAAATAACTAAAACCTCCAGAAGTGTTTGTCTTGCTCCCTAAATCTCTGTTGCGTAAAACTAACAAGTCAACGATCGAAGGTTTAGAATTAGTTTTGAAAGAGACAATTTAAACTACTCGCGCGCGACTTTGAAGATTTATAATAAACCGAATAGCCCACCATTTTCTGGTAACCCACACAAGAACAACATTGATCTCTTATATGAACAACTGCGAATATAAAACAAAGATACTTTACCTGGCATAGGAGGAGTGTTGAGATGTCCGTTTATTTTCAACCACGCCTGCGCAGTGGCTGTTCCTCCGGGGCCTTTCGCCCGACATTGAAATATCCCAGCATCCTTTATTTTGGCTCGCCGAATCCTAAGCTTTGATCCCCAGCGGTAACTGGTTACCTTGTACGATGGAAACACCTTCTTGACAGGCTGTCCGTCTTTGAACCACGTGATGTTAACCTGTACCTTCTTACTGTTCAAACGGCATTTAAAGATGACAGGCTTGTTTTGGAACATAGTGATGTTATGATCCAGGCGCACTTTGAACTTAGGAACTGAAAAACAGTGAGCGATGTCGTTGTTAAATCTGACCGAAATGAAAATCGTTTGAGTAAATTCTTTTGTTTCGTACTTAGAAAAAGATCGATTAACAAGGAATTTATGAAACTCTTATGAGTAACTGTTCCAATGAAAGAGCGTGGCCAAAGGGGGGGAAAGGGAGAAGGACTGGGAACCCTTCTTTGAGGTTAGAAAAGAGAAATAATAAAACAAGGTCGCTCTCACGAATCAGATCAGGTAAGCCTTACATGTGAAAACTAACATGAAGCAATTCTAAAACGTATAGCTTATCATTATTATTATTATTCTCTACAGGTGGGTTCTAACTTCTCAGTGTGTTGATTAAAACAGAGATCGTGACCATTCAGTGAGTGACTACTGCTTTATCGAGCTGTGCATGGTCTTTGTAACGTAAATTTCTGCGAGAAAAAAAAAAAAAACCTTACACAGTAAGGAAGTAATCTTACTTGGAAAGTAAACTCTAGACGGCAACAACCAGCGTAGAGGATTTTAGATAGCATTTTCATACCGGTTAAGGACACAGACGAACCTAGAGTGTAATGATCCAAACGACATCTCTGGTGTAGAAGTGTAGGAAGGGTATGGTGGCCCTGTTACTTACCCTGAGATACCACCCTTATACAACTCTTGTATCCAGGCTGTCCCTTAGCTGGCATACTGTCACAATCCGGCAGGAGCCTGGAAACTACGGGAAACCTTAAGGCGTTCTGGAAATCTATCTTGCAAAGGTCATTCTTTAAAATGAGGCAATCGTCTCGACAAAACTTTCTGGGTTTGGCTGCAGACTGGGTCAGATCGCAAGGTGGAAGGCCATAATTACACAAAGCCGGAAGAACATAATCCCGACATCTTTCAGACACATATTGAAAGAGCATTTGGTAGCTGTTTTCTATAGTGTTCTGTTGTTGAGATTGACGCTTCTTTGACACGTAAATCTGCTGACCTTTGAGATACGGCGCACACAAGTCGCCACCGGAGTACAGTTCACACACGGGAGGTCTGGGGGGCGAGAAACAGCAAATTAATAATCCAAGATTGCGATCAGATGTGACCAAAAAGACAGTTTCGTTACAACATCAAGACGAGGTGATCAGCAGAAAGACATCAATCGGGGAATGTTGTTTGATGAAAGAGCAGATTCTTGGAATTTGAAGTTGTAGATATCTAGGTCGCACACTACTATGTTTTAATACATTTGGCATCGCAGTTCTCGGTTCTTCTTTTAAAACAAACTTCCAAAACAGACATTGCAAAATCTAGCCACTCATTTGGATACTGAGGAAAAAATTCATTTTATTCAATTCTTTAACTTATCTTGAGAACGTGATTAAGTCTTACTACAGCTAGCTGTTGTTGTTGTTGACTTGATTTTTTTTTGTGGCTTCAAGATTTGAGAAATGAACAAACTATCAAGAATAAATCAGACAAATATCTTTTCGATTCTAGAAACAGCGGAGGGAGCCGAAATATCTGTAGTATGAAAAGCGATAGAAAAACCAAATTAAAGGACTGCATTCCGTCAAAAAAGATAATTCAATTAGTAAGATAAAGCTTTGCGGCGCGACAAAAAAACCTTTGATTTTGCAGATTTGTCTTGCACCAAAGTCAAAACTGCGAACTATTTTGTTGGTAGAAGAAACATAACGTATGACATGGCTATTCCGCCTTCAATCACAGTCCCGAAACTCTCTAAATGCAAAGAGAAGTGTTTTCTTCAATTCTACCACTGTGGTCTGCCTGACATTCGTAAACACTAGAAATGAAAGCTGAGAAGTGTCCTTATCTCTCCCACAGGAATTGCTGTATACTAAATGTTTAAGTATGGTCAGAGCGAGATAACGAACCTTCGTGTGGTGTGTAACGGAAAGAAACGTGATATTCAGTAATCTTCTAACACAATGCCATGCTTCATGAGATTCCAACAAAGTGGCCCGGCTGTTTGGCACACGAAAGTCCTAACTGATGCTTACCCTGACAATATGACAGATTAACTTTAACTTAAAACAGACTTGAGTTAAAAAATCCGCTTTACGTTGGAGACAAGGCTTTCGCATTACATAAGGTAATTACACACATGTTAGATTTTGTTTCGATAAAGATAGAGAGTTGTTTTGAGATTGTTCCAGAGCAGGTAATCAAACGTTAATCGTTTTATGGTCATCGCTAGTCAACGCAATTTCAAATGAAAAGAAAAACAAACAAACTGGTTATTCCTACGACACGGAAGAGTGTGTTTAAAAATGATTTCAAGATTTAGAAAATAATGCCTTTGCAAGCCATTAGGTAAAATTCTGCCAAACTAAATATGATGAATATCAAGTTTTTTCTGTGGTTGTTGGCTTGAGTTACAAACTCAAAAACGAAACAAACAAAAAACAAAGAGCAAATCCTCAAACTGTGTTCAAAACCTTTCTTAGATTCAGTTACCGTAGAAAACGCAACACTGTTTAAGAAATTCAATTCTTGTTTTTGGTGAATTGAGAAGAAGGTAAGGAAGTTTGGCGATTGATTTGAATAATGAACAAAACAAAAAACAAGGGGGGTTATGAAAAAGAACTTTATAAACAAAAAGCAAACAGTTTGTTTTTCTACAATCTCAATTTCCCGATTTTAAGTCTGTCAGACATTTGTTGAGTCTGCATTTTGTTTGTTATTTCCTTCGAAAATGTTGACTCTAATCAAATAATTTCACGACAAAGGCGTGCGTTCGTCTCGCATAGTTTACTAAGAGAATTGAAAGGACTTTTTAGAACAATTCCTTCAATCAAATATGTACAGCTTATCTCAATAAAGAAACATGTTGACGAATTAAAACGAGCGAGTTAAAAAGGAAAATCCAACTTCGCCACGAGGATTTTCACAGCAGTCAGTTCCGATTCGCGGTAATTGTACGCGCCCTTCCTTTTGAACCCCAAAAAAACACGCTGGTGAACTAGGTCTTTTGTTACTGAAGAAGAATGCGTCTAACAATCAAAGCTTCTTAGGTTGGCGAAGATTTCCTTTATTCTCCGTGATCCGGATAAATGATTCAACAGTATTTGCTGCAAGTAGAAATTCGATGCTCCCCTTAGGGTTTTATCCATTTCACTCTTAAGATCTACTTAGCAATTCTCCTTACTTTCTACCATACAACTGTTGAGATGTTAGTTTGGAGAATTAGGTATTGGGTCAACTAATAATCCCCTTCTTGATATTTTTCTTTGTTTTCATGACTTGTCTGCTTGTAGTTGTTTTGATATTGTAAAGAGAAATTCTGTCTCTCTCGTTCACGTACGGGAGTTAATAGGCTAAGGTTCACCTGTAGCTCGCCTTGCGCCTTGCTCCTTGCTCCTTGCGCATACCAATGGCATCAACGATGTCAAAACCGGCCCTTAATTCAATTCCAGCAAAAATATTCTTATCGCAAAGAGCACTGCTGCAGAAACACCGAGTTAATCAGTACCTTAATGGCATAACCTGAAATTCAATTTCTCATAGCTGACATTTGAAGGTCATCAATGAAAATCCATGACCTGAAAAGCTTTGAGATATGCTCGTATTTTAATCAAGTTAACTTATTTGCATGATTCGGAAACAGACAAATTGCCAGGATTTTTTCTTTAAGCAAAGAATAGCTCGAATTTTTCTTGAAAAAATTCTCTTGATAGTGAAAAGTGCCGAAAAATATCTAAAGAATGGACAAATAACAGTCAAAGATTAGAACGATACTATGATTTTTCTTCTCTGTCGTTCTCTTTTTCTTTTTCAAATCATCGATAGAAGAATCGAGGATTGAAACGTTACAGTTTAAATTCCACTTCAAATAACTCCAAACACGAACCTGGTGGTTTGTCATTCCTTTTCTACGAAATTTTAGCCTAAAATTGTTAATTTAATGGCTTTAAGAGAGAAGTTACTTCACCAGCTTCCATCCACGATACTACATGTACGGTTTTCTTTGTACATGTTTGACGAAATACTACTTTCTGAATCAATTCTCTCTCGGAGAGGAAATAGTACATTTTCACAACTCTGACACGCGTTTTAGCAAAGTAAAAGAACTTTCCATGTCATAATTGCTAAAATCTGACCAGGGATAGTGATTCCTATCGTTGGGAAAAATAATTTTAACTCCTCAGAAAAAAAAAAGTACCCAAACATCTTCGTGCGCCGTCCTAAATTTATTTTCATCTCAATTTGCGACAACGAAATTGACGTTGCGACAGTTTGTCTAGCTGTAAATGAAGTCCAGTCCACATTTGGAGAATAACAAGTTATCAGCTGGAATCTAAGAAACCATACTATTGCCCGTGAGAGGCCCTTTCCTTTCCGAATTCAGTTTGTCGGTACAGTTACAAACAAACAACAGTATTTGAACGATAATCAAACTATTGATCTTTCTACTAAAACTTTCCTATTTTATTGGGAGGCGGTCTTCTTATCAAGTGCTTGTGGGATCCGACAGGATACCCATATTTGAGGCCCCAGGGTGAGTACTTAGTCGGTACAGACTTTGCGGTCAGCTTAATTATAATGAATTATCAAATCCTACCCGTACAAGGAACTCTAGTGAAAGATAAGATCCATCCTGACTCCTTGACCCGTCTTCTTTAAGTGCAAATCAACCGTGAATAAAAATATTCCCACCTTTTAGTTAAAACTGATTAATGTTTTGAAAAAGTTTATCGAGATCACAAAACTACATGAATATTATATATTTCTTTTTATTTGAATGGCTAAAATGTTTAATTTGAACCACGGTTCATGATCTAACGAAAGGACAACAGAACGTACTGCTCAAGTACATTTGAATTAAGCTTTCTTATCATTACAAAGTGATAATAAAAGCTTAACAGGCGGTATTACAAGAAAAGAAAGCTCTTGTACCATTTTCCACTTTGATGAAAACTCTTAATTAAAATAGAAATAATACTAGGAATTCAGACACAATGCGCGTCATCCTTCAAGTTAAGAGGGAAAGCCTCTGTTGAGATTGCCTTTTGTTATTCAGATTTTTCATATTCCGCAGGGTTTTCTTGAGTTTCCCCAGTTTGAAAATCCGAAATTGATTTTTTCCTGACTGAAAAAAAAAAGCTCCTCAGCGCACTCGGTGCAACAGGAGGAAGATAAAACCTGCACAAAAAATAAAGTTTTATGGAATGGTGTCTGTTCTGGCATGAAAATGATACTTAATTCGATTTGAAATGGGTCGCACAATCCAGCGGACCGAAAAAAATTAAAATGAACTTGCACAATTCTGTTTTCTTCAATCCCTAAGCTTCGACGCTAATTGCTGGAAACTTGAATAAACGCCGCTAAAAGCGATCTTAAGATCTGTACACAAGATAGCAATTACTAAGTCAATTAACCTTGAGAGCAAAGTTGTACAGTTCACAAACAGAGTTTGCGATGTAGCAGACATTGCTGCAGGACACTATGCCACAACAACACCTTGGCAAGAAAAGTGTCCACTTCCAAACAAAAATTAAATTAAATGGACGAAAAACAAAACAAAAATTCGAAAAAAAGGAAGTTTTAACCGTCTCTCACTATCTACACGCTTTTTTAATGTTTAAAAACGTTAATAAGAATCTCTAATCCGTCAAAGAATTCAATTTATAGCATACCATTAACACTAGGAGCAAAATAATTGAAGTGGTTTCCTAAAGTATTTAAGTAAACCTTGTTGCTGTATCTTTCGAGATTGAAAAAAATGACAAAGTTTATCTCTACTGACGAATATCTCTGTTTTGTGCAGTTCAATTTATAATGCAACATATCATATAACCGGAAAATCGGAACAAATTTTTTAATTTATTGTACAGAATCTGAGTTACAAGAACGCACTCACATATTCGCCTTTCAGAATTTCGTTGTCCGAGTTAAATAGAACGTTCTTGTCATTAGTTTCATATTTTTTTATTGATTAATTAATGGAGCAACATTTTGCTCAATCTCAGAATTTCATGTTAAGGAATTCCCAAGATCCGACACAGCCAACCTTATTCTAAAATGCTGCATGAAAGAAAGTGAGCCGCCAATTAAATATATTTCAAAGTTCCACTGGACGAAGACACAAACAAACTATTGTTATGCTAACACTCCTAAAACATCATTTAAGATATATTTACGTCGTCTGTCACAGCACTTTTTCACACAGTGGTACATTCCTTTTTTTTCCAAAACCACGATTTTACCTAAAAAAGATCTCAATGAATGGACTGAAATCAGCGACAAAGTTTTGTAAATTAACCGTTTTACATTCCGAGAAAAACTCCTAATTATGTTTTCGCTTTTGATCCTAAGTGTTGTTTTACAACCAAATTGTCATGCTGAACATAATTTGTAAACCGGGTGAATTGCCTCCTTAAATACGAAAGTGCTTCCAGTACAGAAAAGTCCATCTTCGATTAAGTTAAAGCTTGAAATGAATCTAACTTTTCATGCTCGGTTTATTTTGCGCACGCCGACACCAAATGAAGATTACTCGACCTTCTTCATGACACTTGAGAGATCTTCCCCATGCAAAGAAGGGCCTCGGCGTTAAAAAACAAAGCTTTCCCAACCTTACCCAAGTTAAACTTTACCGACGTATTACTAAACGCATTTCGAGAGGACTTCTGTTGTAAGGTTTAAAAAAATGTACATATTGATCACATTTTCGCTCTAGTCAACCAAATCTAGATGGTTGATGAGTTTTATTCGCTTTTGTCGCCCGCCGTATGTGACAAAAAATTTCAAAGGGCAACCAACTAAACAGCAACAATTAACTATTGTGTTGGATTTAAATCTAAACTTGACTTAATTGCAAGGTTTGTAATGAGCGTAAAAGAGATCAAAGATGCGATATTTCGCTTCCACAAAAGAAACTGGTGGTGGTCTTCTAAATTTAGCCGTATCGAAACAGATAAACAGCAAACAATATGACTTGACATCTCTCGTCAACTACAAGCCCTTTTCCAAAAAGTCGAGACAGCCAGGGAAATCTTGGCCTCATTTGCATGGTGTTTGAATGAAAATGAACGCGGTTAGGTTTGAAAGAAACCCCGTTATCGAAACAATGAACGAGAAAAATGCTTTGTAGAGCGACGATTTCTCGAACAAAGAACTTCTGTGTCAAACCATCCGACAAACGTGAATCATGAAAGATAGCCAGCCATGTTCTGCACAAATTCGTTGCGGCGCTTGAGAGGCGAAATCACGCCATGCAGATGCGAGGCAGATTGCGTTAAAGTTGAAACAAACAATTCACTTTAACCAGCTTTAATTCAAATGCACTCGCAGTTTGGTCTGATCGCCAGAAAATAATGATTGCCTCTCCACGAGATATCGTCAATTCGAAGGCCATGCTGTCGGGTTTAGAATTACCAACATCCCTCCGCTGTACGTAACCAAACATTCTTCAGTTGGTAATAAAAGAAATTCTGGGGATCAATGCGTCAGCGAACCGACTAGACCATTGAATGCACTCACCTGGAATTTCTTCCCCGCTTTCCGGATCGCGAATCTCTTCTTCCATACTGCCTGGCTAGAGCTGTCAGTGGATTGAAAATAATCAGTATAAACACGGACGTATTCAGTTTCTAATGGCAGACACATGAAGAACACATGCAAGCACAAAGACAAAACGTATTTACAATACAAAATACAGCTTTACCTAACGATCAAGGGTTCTGGAAGCAGTCAGCTTTAACATCATTGCAATTACCTTAGCCTTGGGTTGATTTAATCCACCAAATTGATATAATTCCGGAGCACAGTAGCAAACAAGAACAAAAACGAACAGACAAATATCTTGTGTTTAAAGTGGATTTAAGATTGTCTATAAATGCTTCCAGGAAAACCGAAATTCACCTAGAAATGTTTGAAGGAGCAGAACGGCGAAATTTTAGCTATTTCGATCTTCGAACATGTTATGTCACTTAAAACCATCTTTCATGTTATAAGTAAACACAGTCAACAGACAACATGACCAAATCAAACCCTAGAGGCTACAGCCGTGTCGAGAACACCGTACATTTTCACTCACCTGAACCACAATTCCAATTGATCACCAAAGTTCCACACAGCAATAACACCGCTAACTTCATTGATTCTCCTGGTTGAACCTGGGAGAAAGCAGATGTCGCGTTATTTCGGCCCCGCTAAACAATCGCATCTCATCTTTGACAAAGTTCAACCGCTTGTATACTTGTCTCTCAAAAGAAGAGCGTTTGGGCTGCATGGTGTGACGTCACAAGCGACTGCCCCCTTTTCTAGTACCGATTACCTCTCTAATTTCTACTTCAAATTGACTACCCCAAATCGTCTAATTACATTGGTTCAGAAATAATTGAGTTAGATCATATTTCATGGATTATACGGATGGAATTTAGACTATGCGACAAACCACACGGCTTTCATTCAACACTAGAATTATCAAACATCGCCTAAAAGCTCACAAATCTCTGATTCATCACGGTAAAAAAAAAAGTTTGAAGAACTCAAGCAAGTATTATGAAGAAGTTTTGTTAAAGTCGGGTTGAGTGAGGCCTGAGCGTTATACAAACATACATGTAATTGAAAACTGGCTGCCTAGGCGACAATCTTAATACGGGTATATAATTGAGATAAGAAAGCTCGACATCGGAGATCGTTCTCAAAAATCGTAAAACTCACTTGAAAAGTTCTTCTTAGGGGTGAAATCCTGGTTAGATTTGCTTCTCAAAACAAATATCCTGTCTATTAAGTAGGCAGCCCCCGAATAAGAGCCAGCAATAATGATATCTTTTGAGAGATTAGCAAGTCAAAATGACAGCTCTTTGGTCATCAGTCAGCGCCCCTGTCCTTAAATAGTTTTTATTGTTTTCAAAACGGATCGACAAACCATCACGTATGTACAAACTCTTACAGCAGGGAGTTTTCTTTCACTTATTTATCATTTGCAAAAGGAACTGACAAAGGTAAAATCATTGTGGATAGAATTGAAATTTTCAAAGAATATGGAGACCTCAACTTGATGGTGTTGCTTGTGTCATGAGTCCATATCTCTGGCTCAGTGAAAAATAACAGTCAGCCTTCGGCTTTGAACAATTTAGGAAACATTAAAATGTTCCAAATGCCACGCCAACGAGTGAGTCGCAGAGGGTTGGCTATGTGGAATTCACACTTCTGTAATTTCATCCGAAAACAGTGGTTTTCCCGGCTACGTACATAGGGGTTAGATATTTTTAAAACTGAAATTTAGGCTCCTTAAAAAAAGAACATTTTTTTAATTTTTTTGTTTTTTCAAATATTTCCCGCTGGATTAACCAGACACCCGCTTACTACGTTATACTGCAAAAGTGTATGAAAGAACCTTCTTGAACTTACATAACAGCGAAACTCGATTACCAGATGTTTATGTGGACAATGTTGGAGAATTGAAAATAAAGGAAGGAAATGAAACAAAGCACTTGATTTGTTTACCTCTTCATGGCTTTTATAGCTTGAGGAGGTTTTTTGCCCAGTACCGTAACTTAATGACCAAGTTTATAAACAAACAATCAAACACTTAACCATCTGTCATTATTTGCTCACAAACTTTTCACTTCACTACAGATATTATACCATAATACGGAATGAGGATACTATAATCTGCAACGAGTACCATCACGCCGAAGAATCTCTAAACGCAAAAGATTTCTAAAGCTCTGGGACATGCGTCCCGGGTTCTCTGGCTAAGTTTTATTTCTTTTCCGGCCCGAGAGCGACCAAATCTCAAGTTTGCAAGCCGATCTGTCCACAGAACGATTTATCAACGATAAAACGGCTGAAAATAATGGCTAAAAACCGACAGAGTTCGGGAGCCTTTGAGGATACAAAGGGGCGGTTATAACATAGTTGGAAGCTAATTAAAAACTGCTGAGCGCTCAAAAATAATATCATATTCATTAGAGGTTGGGTGCGGACATTTAATCAGGTTAATTAAAAAATTTCAATTAGATTGATCACGTTACGAATTTGTTCATCAATGCAGAGTGCTTAGGTAAATCGTTTTCAAAAGAATAATACAATCTTTAAGATGAAAACAGGAACACAAAAGCCATATTTTCAGATATCAATTTGCTATTGGAGTAGTAAGCAACAGTAGCGAAAGATGATCCTTCTAGAATGTTCCTCAGCTGACTAGTCTATGTTAATTTGTTCCACATTTAAATCTGTGCGGGAGAGCTGATTTCCTTATTAGGTCTGTTGCATCCTTAATCAATGACTCATGAGAGGAGTGGATATGATGATGGTTTTAAAACTGACACGTTCTAATCCTTAACCTTCAGCCTTCAACTACCAGTAGTGACCAACGTGTACCTTCTCCTTAAGATATCAATAAAATATCCAGAAAACAATGAGAATAGGCATATTATCGAGTAGAAGGCGCTTTCTTGATAGAAGACTATATTCTTTTTGCAAGTACATAGGGACAGAAATTAATGGCAGTTCAAGGGAGAAATGCTTTATCAGAGACCCAAAGGAATTTCAGAAAAGAAGACTGGAAGGATTGCGTTTAGTTGAATTTTGAGGCCTATTATAAGAGTATTAACTCGCTCTCAGCTTCATTCAGCCATTAGATAGCGTGATGTAACAAGGTTTCCGTCCTGAGAATAGTCAAGTTTGTCGGCAAGAAATCTCAACGGGCTTTCTAACTTTTTCTGTCCGACCATCCAAACTTAGAAGAGAAACAATAATCTAAAGGTATATATGACAACAATCTTGCTATGATCGCAAAGCAGCACGTAAGTTAAAAGCAGTACAAATTCTGGATATCTACCAATTTGGTAGACAATGAAATGAATGAGACTAAACAAAATGAAAATTCTAATTTGGCTTTTTGAAATATTCTTACTTTTTCCGTGTCAGATTCAACAGTCAGGGCGGAGAAACTGAAAGACGATGTTTTTCATCAATTATGATCACACGCGTATATTAAATGCGAACGAACCAATCAGAAAAAGAACCACCCAGACCATTAAAATTTTTCAGTGAAAGAAAAATTGCATATTCGGTACACTGACGAAGGCATCAATCAACCTGCTTAGCTTTTTTAGTTCCCTGTCGTGATATTTGATACCAGAAGTGAAAAAAGTGCTCACAAAGGCTTATCTCTGATAAAAATAAAACGTTTTTTCTTATTCTCGTCCCAGATCAAATTGTCAACTCTCATTACCAATCGTCATGCACTTTTTTCTATCAAAGGTGTGAGAAATCAGCTTTTTATCAATAATCTCGAGGCTATCATCATGGAAACGCTCTCAGTCCTCGTTAGAAGATCTAATCGTGTTTTTTCCGCTTTCTGAGATAGAAGACGCAAAAGGAAGTCGATCCGTATCAGTTTAAAAGGAATAAGCAGTACTCTATAACTTAAAGAGCTTAAAATTTGTAAAAATTGTTGATATCACTGATTTTATTGAATGACTGACAAACCTCGTCCAAGTATTAAAAATAGGATATCTGTGAGAATAAAAAGAGATTTCCAGTACAGCAAAGTTTCTCTCTTTTTCAATTCAAAAAAATCAAAATCGTTTTGAAAGGTTGCCGGTCTGTGGGTCACGAGAAAAAAATTTTAAAAAAAATGAAATGTCAGGAACGAAAGTTTTCAGTATTTTTGTCATTAATGAATTGCATTCTGGATTGATATGTGGCCGATAAATTTCTTTTTATGCATTTTTTCTTAAAATGATGTCATATATTTGAGTTTCAAATCCAGAAATAGTATCTCTAATTGAAACCGTTTTCGCGAGTTATCACCGTTAATTTGATTTAACTTAATCATTTAAAGGCATTTATTCTTAGACTGCAGTTTTAACTAGAACCAATGGCCGTAAATTAACCCAAAATGTACACTTCTAAGCCTTGCACAAGTTTTTTGGTTCAAGAGGACCTTTCTTTCCATTGAAATATCATTCAAACTCAAATACCCCGAGCGTGAGTTTCTCAGGACTGATTTTAAAACTTAAAACGATTAGACGACGTAGATTGCTCAAGAGGACAGGATTTTAATTATTTAGCCTCTAATCTGGTTTTGGCACTAACAAGGTATACGAAGTTTGTGTCAGCCAACTCAAGTTTATTATGTTTTTTTTTTTTCTTATTTCCTACTTTTTTTTAAGCTCTTAAGGTTGGTGACCTTCATTGTGTGCTTCGCTCTGATGTTCAAATTTATCTCAGTTTAACGAGATTCAGTAAAATAATTCTTTCTTCTCTAGGGTGAGACCACTGGTGCTGCTCATCACATTCCTGGCAGTTTATCAATGAAAAAAGGTTCACACTCCTAATTGGACAGAGTCGCTTTGCTAAGAATGAAGTGTCTTGAAGAGTGATCACTTTTGACCCACCTCTTTCGTTACTAATATACTCTATGTAGGTGATTATGAAGATTATTGTTTTTGACTCACCAAACAGTTGCTCGAAGGCGATAATCTCGTTTTTTTTCCTCTGATGAACGAACCAGTTGTGAAAAAAATAGGTTCTAAATGACTCGCAAAATGCCACGTGGAAATTTAAAAATTTTCTCAGCTATCAAGCTGTCAAGGGAAATTCAATTTGCTCTTTACCGAGAGATTAGAGGGACCGATCTAACACGCTAACAAGGTGATTTGTGATTTGTACAGAAACCAGAAAAACGGAACCAACTTTAAGGGTAATTTAAAACTAGTGTTTCCGGAGCACAGTCAAAGGGAAATTCCATACTGATTAATCGGCATTCTTGGAGGAGACAAAACGAGACAAGTGAGCGCGTTGCTTGGCAAAGAGAACCCAGCTTGACTTTTTTCACCGCTTCTCTGTGGTTGAAAAACAAAAGCAAATTGCGCACGGGGGAAGCTCCGGCTTAAAAAAAAACGGAAACCAAATTTAGCCACGGTCGCGCCCTGTTCTTAAAGGAAGAAAGATGCTTTAAGAATAAGCTAAAACAGGAGTGAGGAAGAGAAACGAGATAACTGAAAGGAAAACTGCGGTTGTGTGCGTTTCAATACAAAATATCAACACTAAAACTGCCGGGTTATTTTGCACTGAGGTATTCTATGATTGCTTCAACTGCCATGCTTGATAAGAAAGAACGTTGAATCCAATTTATTTTCCGTTTAAGGCGCTTAAACAAACGTCTAGCACACCATGAATTTACTGCTTTGTTCCATTCAGTGGAGCTATAAAAATATCATAGGCCACGGGTCTTCAGTCTATAAGCTGTTTATTTAATATGCGAAAGGTCTGTCATTATTTCTCCCTCCAATCACTGGTTTACTCTCAGGCACAGGAAATATATCGTTTTTCGTCGAGATCCGATTAAGGCCCCCTTTTCGTATAACACTCTGGCTCGAGCACGTATTTCATATTTCTTGAGTACTAAAGGTGGAAAAATGTCAAAACTCTCAAGAAAAAAAAGGTTGATTGTTCAAGTAGAAGTCTAGGACATGCGCACTGACTCGACTCCGCTTCACCTTCAAGAGCTCCATTGTACGGGAATCCATTTATCTGGTTTTATATCAAAGCGTCGACCAGATCAGTAACATACAGTGGTTTTCGGATTTAACTTCAATATGTTAAGAGGGAGTGGAATTAATCGATTGGGAACACAACTGGAAAGAATGGAATACTATTCTTGGTTGTATGATTGTTTGACGGGCACTTAGATCATGAATGTATCTGTGTGCCCCTTTTGAGTCCGTTTTCCTCCACAGTTTTAACAGACAATAAAAAGCCCGAAACTGATTTAAATATTTTTAAACAAATTTTAAAATTCTGTGCGATTTGACCCATGGATAGCTCATGGGAAGTTCTTACGTTACAAGAAATAGCATTAGAACATTACAGACATGATTTACTATTTTAAGCCAAGAAAAGGAAAGGAATCATCAATACTTTTGAGCTCAAAAACTGCATTGTTAGCTTCAGGGGGAGATGTTATTAAGTGTATGATCGTGACCAGTAGCTCTGTTAGAGTTGAAAAGATTTAAAAATATAATTTAGCCAGTGGGGTGTTGGGGTGTTTTTATGAAAACCCTTTTCAATGTTCTTTCTCCTAATTTGTGGTTTTCCTCAATCATGAGATTAAAACGAAGAGATTGCAAGTCAAAAGCCGGAGAGGAAGCGACACAATTTTAAATATTAAATTAAAATTTAAAACAGGGGAGGCTTTCTATTTTTGCAATAATACATGATCATATAAATATTGAATTCCAAGAAACTTTAAACTTCGAAAAATCATTAACTAGGGGTGTCACGTAACTGTCGAAATACACTTGAAAGCTCTGTAATGTTTACCATCCGCTAGCTATCAGGTATGTTGCTCTTGATATCGGATGATGGGGAGGCAACTTACCCTTGATCGCGCAACGACTCTAACTGCGCAATTTTTCATTTTATTGCTGTGTTAATTTTAGTGGCAAGAAATCGTTAGGACGATAAAGTGGCGAGCCTTACTCACTGAACCATATCTGTAATTATCACGCGCTCGACATAGGATATTTAGTTATTTGTACCCTAATCTGTTGTTCACGGCCCGAGGGCAAACTGAAAGAAATGATCCCAATTGAATGGTTCTTTTGTTGAGCTAAACTGGGAATATGTGGACGATAATGTAGTCGGTTGAATAAGAAGTAATTTCATCATATATTGTCCTCATTGGGCAGTAACTTGGGTAGACTTATAATTTTACCAGCGATCACTGAAATCCGTCACTGAATACCGTATCGAAAATTAATTTACAAACAAAGCTGTTCTTTTGATGATCGCCGAGTGCTTTGAGAGTGGAACCATTCTTGTGATCATGCAAACAGAAAGAACGGAAATGAACATGTAAATTTAGGGTTTCAAGCTGAATAGAGTTGTATCAAGTATAACAAAATATTTGTCATTTCTCCAACAAGTGATTATCTATCAAACATCAGGGATTTGTTTATTTATTTGCGGATATATTATCTTGATGATCCATTTTTAAGATGCTATCTGCATTTAAGTATCTTCTATCCCTTAAAGTTCAATTAAACAAGGTCTTTAGTTATTTATCGGGAAAATAATACTCAGTATCGTCCGAGACTGGTGTTTGTACAACGCACTGATACTGTGATAATAAAGTTCAACAATAATGTTAACATTTAGACGCGACTTTGGATCGCTTTACATCCTTCAAATCGTGTGTTATTTGGCCAATAAACAAAAGTTGGAAGTGGAATTTCTTTTTGCAGCGTTCGAACAGGGTAAAAATCCAGCCCCCTGATCTCTTAATTATGATCCGTCTCAATTTGCTCTAACCATGCTTTTTTGGGTGTATGCTCGTCTGTATGATCTGCACGCGTTATGCAAGTTGTAAGATATCAGGCTTATCTACCGGTAAACAATATCACTGATTGATCACGACAGTGTGAAATACCTTGGTTCTCACCTCTATGAAGCCTTTCTTCTGTTTGTCTTTTTTATCAAAGAATCCTTGCAGAAAAACACAGCTCAGATTGCTCAGTCCCCTCGAAAGGTCGTAGCAGATGATTCTTCTAAAGTGATGTGCTTGTCTCCGTTTATGAAACTTAATACTTGTCTACTTTATATTATTTGGAGTGCCACTGGCATAAACAGATATCTGTCAGTCTGTCAATGCTTCGTCAATGGCCTCGACCAATTTTCGGGAATGTTTTTACGACACACATCTGCCTGAACTCAATAACTATCTAGCAACCGACCGTAATACTGTACCAGCTCGGATCATGAAGTGACTGTCAATCAAATCCACCTACACCAATCAGATGGCGAACAGTGGGTGGTTCTTGACTTTAATTAATAGATTTGACACTGTGTATGGCAGATTAGATTGAATCATTTGTGTCTGATCGTTAACAGGGCTTATAACCAGCTATAGAGAGAGTTCATACAACGCATGGCTGCGCTAAAGAAAAATGTTTTAAAAATAACTTGTTTACAGCTGCGTGTCTTCGACAAGAGCGTGAAACATGGAGTTCATTTCGCGCCAAAAAAAACCCTGCATGATGACGTTTCGTGCGAACTGCTTGATAGAACAACATAGGAACTTGCACAGTTGATAAATAGCTGGAAATAATCAATAACGACATGCTGTGAAAGCCACAACTGCGAACAGCTTGAGTATGGTTAGCCTTTGGCGAAACTGGCCACAAACAATACACTTACACCAAATCACTTTAACATTTGTGCGCTTTAGGTGTTTTCTGTGTTTCGTTCATTCTAATCTTGAGAGCTCATCCTTCGGAATGTGAATTTTTAATTACCAAGTTATAACTTACTCTTTAAACTGACGAAAGATTTTTCCCTGATTTGAGAGCAAAGACTTCAGAGATCAAGATTTGCGTAGAATGGCCGCAAACAATATGGGCTCAGATCCAAAGGTCAAAAAAATTCCTTAAAGAAAGGATCCAGAAATGCGTAATAAAAACTACAGTTCTTGGAGAGATTTGAGTAAAATAAAAGAGGCTGGACTCTGAAAAGAAACTCATTCTGATGTTTTGAATATGTTTTGTGCTCAATTCTAAACAAAGGGGAGACATATTGATAGAAGAGATTCGATCATCTGTCAAGGACGTCAAATTGATGTAGTTTGGCTCGCATGCCAAGAATTTCCCACATGTTCCATTTTCACATATCGACATTTCTTCAGTCGTTTTTGACATTCTTGTTGAGATATAAATGCAAGGGACAATGGTGCGGAAACTCGATGATAAAGACAGGAGGGAAAGATGTCATTCCGCACGATCATCTTGAATTGAGAATTACAAACATAGTTTCCGGCAGAAGTCTGCTTAGCGCATCCCGTCTGGATTATAGACATTTGGGTTACATTACTGACACACACTCAGATTTCTTACAGTTTCAAAAGCTTTTAGCGCGGTAACTTAGAACCCTGTTACCTAAAGACGCATTTTTTCTTATGTTTTGCGTATGGTTATACAAACTATCAAATCAAATTCAAGCATCGGCATTGGGAAAGCCTGAGAGGAACATGCCAGCTTTTAATCTCATAACCCTCTAAGGTTCCTACCACGGCACTAATTTGATACCTCTCCTTCTCCCAAATACGCCTTTTCTCTCCCCTCTTAGGTATATGAGGAGTATAAAGTCGGTAACTGATTGATTCAGAAACAAGTTAATTTTGGTTTTATCAACTGAGTGGATAATGTAAATTTATCATCATAAAGAGTTTCTGAATCTGACGTTTCTAGCGTTGGCCCCTTTTAGAAGCGAAGCGTGTTATCTTGTAAAACCCCCCTCCCCCTCCCCCCCAACCGATGCAGCACCACAGTTTGGCTTCAGGAACTTACCACTCCTGATGATTGAGAAACAGTTTTGACTCAGCTTTGGATGTGCAGATCCGAGCAAATACAACTTTTCATCTCATATCAACACAATGACAAGTGGACACGGGTACTGAAACTAACCTACCACAGCGTTTGTGACAAACGGAATGGATATACCGGTATACTTGTACAAAACAAACGCAGGGGATTGATATGGAAACTAAACAATTAAGTTATAGGAAAAGAGAGGGTTTTAAACGATCGTTCGGAGAAAAAAGGTTATCGCCGATGAAGATTAGAGAAAAAGTACATAAGCGCTGTACACAAGCATCATGTTACTGAAGAAAGTTCCAAAACTTACGCGCGCTAACACCGTGTACTACTGAGGTGTCTTAAGATGTTTTGTAGTCTCTTCGACGGTGGATAATGATCTTAAGAATTGTATTGTACTCTGAGGTGTATCAACTCGGATCAGTGATCTTTTTTTTTATTATCCAAAGGGAATAAATTGGATCAGGTCGAGGATGACTTTAAAAAAGGGCGTAATGGCTGTTAATTCAATGACTGGCAAGTCATCAATCATTTTAAAACTGCTAGAAATTTCACGGACTTGAACTTTTTCTAAACTTAGATCTTTTATGAAAGCCACCAATTTACGGGTCTGTGCAAAGGTCTTGGTCCAACCTTCATGTAATAGAAATCCTACACTAATAATAGTGTCAACTTTCTAATAGCTCCAACATCAATTTCATTTAGATTGGAATTAATGATATTCAGTTCTCAATACTTAACACCGCTGGCAACCTCGAAAGCATGAGAAAAGATGATCCCTTTTGAGAGCTTCGAAATCACTTAAGTTACGGTATCATGAAAGATTGTTAAAAGACTATTTGTCGAGAGTTACCAAAGAATCATTAAAGTAGAATTAAATGGGTTAGCTTTGCAGCAACCACTTGAAATAGCCCGTGGTGAAATTAAATGCATTTTAAACTCTGGGTTACTTTGTAATAATGAACTTGTTCCATAGCCAGATAACAGTACTTATAACCTGAGTAATAACAGTACTTATAACCTGAGTAATAACAGTACTTATAACCTGAGTAATAACAGTACTTATAACCTGAGTAATAAGAGACCCCCAGAGTGTTTTCAACTTTGCGGTTCTTTGATTGATTTTATCTAGAGTTTGTACTCAAATGCTTTCTGATCGGTAATTAAATTGGAATTCCGCAATAAAGATCAGAAGTTCCACCGCACACACATCAGTGAGTTAAGTGGGAGTGGGACCATGATGGTTGATGAAATTTTTACAAGAGAAATCTCAAAACTTGGTTATGCATTGCAGAAGACATGCACTGCTTTTTGCTCTATCAAAGGCACTCCATTTTTTATGTGGATTTGTATAGAATATACGACTACCACATTAGCAACGAAGACAATTTGACATGCTCAAATCAGTGCAGTGGACGTTGTAAGCGATCAGTATGTGTTTGACTGCTGAACAGTTGTTAAAAAACCATAATACTTTGGAAAAGCTTAAAATTTTAAAAAAGTTACTCATCTTTCACAAAAAGCCATTATACTTTGAAGTTGCAGCAGACCTGCACGCTCCCGACGCATGCGCTGTCGAACCATTGACCAATATACCAATGTTCTGAGATAGCTAGAGACATAACCTTGATTTTTAGTATTCAATTAAGAGAAAAAAAATTAGCCCTTTCATATAGAGCCAAATCAAACAATAACTAGCCACAGCGATGTTTAGGGTGCTCGCGAGTTGTGAATACAAGGAGAACAAAGAGCGTAATTGTGCGGTTGACGAATCGTTAGTTACTTCAAAAGAGAGAGGGGAAACTAAAATCAAGGGGCAGTTCGAGAGGGGTTTAAAACCCTCGAATTGCAGGACTAACAAAATATCCATTAAAAAACTTTTAACGTCACTGTGGCGAAATCGATTCATGTTTTTAAGAACGTTCATTTATCAAGACGCCGAAACGCATCGATGAAGACTTTTCAAAGTCACATCCGGTCATACAAAGATGGTAAGAAGCTTGCAATCTCCAAGTAAATGCTTGATTTACGACATATTTTTCATGCGAAAAGAGAGGCACATTGTCAACCACATCCGGAGAACAATAGGTCACGTGATTAATTATCATTCACAGACTAATGCAAGAGACGATTCCAAACAAAAGTCATATGCAAGAGAAGAAAATAACAAATGTGCCAGTCATTTTAAGCCATAAATATAAACTTGAAAAAAAGGCCAGTATTTTCTAGGATAATTATGGAGCGGAAAACAGTTTACTAAAAAAAAAATTCATAATGACGATAAAAAAATTAATAATGATATAAACAAATTGAAAGTGATGGAAAAGTATTAAATCGAGTGAAGCTGACGAAGTAAAAATAACTGTTGGCAAGTTCACTTGATATAAACGAGTAAGATCGTTACGTTTCAGAATTTTTTTTAAAATTTTGCTACGATGGAGCTTTTCAGCAATCAAACATGGCATGCTGCTCTCGTACTTTTTATAAATAAATACTGTATGCATCGGAAATTGAAGGATTCGCTATCTAGTGTTCTCAAAGAAGTATGGTTTCTTGACTTTATTAGAAACCTATATACCTAGATACCTTATAAGAGTGTATTGTCGTTTCTAACTGGGTTTTGCTCCTCTTTGCAGATGAAAGAGAAACGTTAGTGAACCTCACAAACTGAAGGTTTTAGGAATGAAGTTTCTGCATCAGCAGAGCCATTATTGTGGGGCAAGGAGAGGTTTGACATCATCATACCCTTTTTTAGGAATTTGTTCATGCATGCTCACACCTTTAAAGCTAGCTCCTCTTGAGACGTTTTATCATTTATTTCTCGGTGAAATTCGGTCATTTAAGACAGCAACAAGAAACTGGTGTTATACATTACACCTTCAAGCTGAAAAACTTTTCTAATTCTCTTTAGCTTCATGTTAATGTTTTGAAGCTGCCTTTCATTTTGTTTGCTTCTTTGTTTTTCTGAAGCACCTTTACGAACATAAGCAAAAACAGTGCCCATACGTGAGTATGTATAGATTAAGGAACACAATTAGAAATGTATATTGTATATTTGTCCGCAGAGTTTAAATTTAGAGCAACAATGCAAATGTTTACAAGATTCCAAAACCGCAAAGAGGCAATTTAATAAGCTTCTTGTTAAAACTATGAAAATTATTCTGGTATGACGAAGACCACGTTAAATTGTTGGCTTAACTGACGACACTCGTTTTCAGTTAGTTACTTAAAAGAGAACAAAGAAGAGAAGAAATTAAGATTGTTTATTAAGACGGTGCTTAAACTCGTCCATCTGTGGGTCCTTTTTCGTGGAGTAGAAAAAATCGTGGAGAGCCTAATTCCTTTAAGAGGCCTCCAGGCATTAACGTATCTATGATAGTGTTACAATGGGCTCATTTCAAAAATAGCTTGCAACACAGCAGATTAGACATTTTTATGAAGCTCTCGCTGTTAACAAAGCCAACTAAGACACCAGCAGCTCGAGCCTGAGTTTATTTTTAGAGAAATCAGCACCTTACGGAAGCGAGCTTTCGCGCGTCCTAAGTGCTTCCCATGAGAAGTAAAAAACGCTATATTATTGTTAAAATTTTCCTTAAGAAGCTTATCTGACTCGTTTGAAAGTAATATTTCCAGCTAAACATTCACGTGGTATCTAAAAACTTTGGAAAATTCTCACTCAAACTGTGAAGTCCGAGTCGCACTAGTAAACGGACCATTTCCACACGACACACTAATCCTTGCTTAACATTCCATTTGGAAGACATTGGGGTCGCCTGATGCGATTAGCCAACAAAGCCCTTTGCTTTTCATGACTTCAAATCTAAAACAGGATAAACTACCAATCAAAAACTCCACTTCATTAAGATTATTAGTTTAGTGTTGAAAGCTCAACTAACGCTCCTTCAATTACCATAGTGCTGTGCTGCAAGACAAATTGCAGTTCAGGTCTTTAGGCGTTTGTCGGGAACGCAGAAAATTCGACAACACACGCAAACATCATATTGTCGAAGCTGGTTTCAAATATGTGCTCACCACTACATTATAGACCATCAAACAACTTTAACTGTAATCTTTAATTTTTTTTTGTCTCCCTTTACAGGGATACTTAATTATCAGAGGTTTAAATACTTCAGTTTCGTCTTATAACTTTAATCCGAGATAGTCTTGGTTTCGTGATGCCCATGTGAAGCTGCGTTCGGTGAACCGTTTTTTTTTGTAGCAGATTTTACATTTTTAGCTCGCTCAGTGTACATATTCAACTGATTCAACTTTAATCAGAATTAAAGATAAATCAAGCATGTGATCATTTGCAATATACTTCCACCTTATCTTTCATCTTTGAATTGGATGTCGAGTTGTACCAGTTCTTTCAAAGGTAAAGTTCATTCTAACTAGAACACGAGAAACTTTTCATAGTATTTCAAACCGATACGCTCTGACGAAGGGCTAACGTTCGAAGCGCCTGTTTTAGAGGCTCTTTACGGTGGCCAATTTACATTATAAACTCAATAGATAAAACCAAATTATCTTGTAATGTCCCCAACCGACGCAGCACCATAGTTTCTTTAGAAACCCACTCCCCCCTTTTTTAGCAGTCCTTTATATATCTATGTCATAACTGAAGCACTTACCCCACTGAAATAAAACTCCTTTTTGCCGTAGAGATAGATGACAAAGAAGTGAATCCCTCGTGAAAGAACAGATCTTTTCTGGTGCTGTGAAGCGCGTAAAGATATGCGAATGACGCCCTTTGCAATCTCTGATACCTATCATATAATGTGCAGTGTTTAATTAGCTGCTGACACGTTATCTAGACATTTATCTAGACGCAAACAAAATTTAGCTAATCCGAAAAATCTCGCACCCAATTCACACAAACTTAACTTTTTTAAATATGTCATGAACGTGTTACCTGTCGTAACGAGTTTAAACGCGAATGTTTTTTTCATTTTCAGTGACAGAATTGATAGAATTAAGCTTTGGTTGGGAAATTAAGCACTGTATTTCGTGAATGTTTCATGACATATTTGTCATCGCCGGAACTTAGCAGAGCCTCGCACTTCGTGGGAACTGGGGAAATTTTCTCGTTACTCAGAAAAAAGTTTACAATGACAGTCATAAGCTTTAAACTCACGAGGCTTTGTTTAAGCAAATACGTGTCCAGATTTATTCAGTTACATGCTACAACAAAACCAATCCTTGTGACTTTTTTGGCTATACTTATCTTTTCTCTGCAGACAAAACACTTTAAGTGGGAACGGTGATAAAATATACGAAAAATTAGCATTAATTTCAGCCATTGGGTGTTATTTAACATTGACAAAGATGACACTCTTGCAGAAATGTTTTGGTAATCATCGTTCTTTTTTTTTTTTCTTCTAAGTAAACCAGATGTTTTCTCGATGTGTGACACTATTGTTGGGCTCGTTGAAAGAACATTATTTATTTAAATCGTTTGATTCATGACATAGTTTACAAATGATCTGACGCGTAGATGAGAAATGATACGTCAGGGAATTGATGAGTGCCATATATGGTGTATGCTGTATTCGTTCGTCCAAAAATGAAGTTTTTTTTTCGTTTTAATGAGTTTTTGCTTCTTTGATGCAGTAAACCGATGAGTCTGGAAGAAATACGAATAATTAGTTCAATATTATTTCCACCTGAAATTGATCTGCATTATAAGTTCAAGTTCTATATACTATCATTAGATCCGAATTTGTAGAATTCTTTTGATCATTTTTTTCCCTTTTTCTTCTTCTCTAATCAGAATTCTCCAGCATCAGTCTGCTAAGGGAACAACTAAATTGCACTGAAAATCCGGGCGATCAGTTTTTGATGTTTTAAAATTGAAGAAAAACTGGCTGGAAGATCTTATGAACTAAAGTACATTATGATAAAAAGAATAGCGATTTTAACCATGTCAAGAACAACTTGGATGGAAACAAAAACAACATGAACAATAACAGAATTGAGGAGTCCAGCTGTTATTTTTCCCGCCCCTCGTAAACAACGCCTTCTTGTTGGTTAATTGATACTCGGACCTAGTCCTATTCTATTTCCACATTCTCAATCAACATGGCGGACGAACAAGTCGAGTTTGATTTGTAGTGAAAATACTTACGGGTCAACAAAGTAGGGGAACCAAACGCCCCAGCTACGATCCAAATTTTATAACAGTCTTAAGTGTTTCTACGTTATGCAAAGGCGGCCAAGAAATCCTGGATTTGGGGGGCGTCAGACCTCCGCTCAAGAAAAAACAGCTGATGTTGCAGAAGCCCTCCTGCGTCAAGCGAGAAAATCAGGACAGCTAAATCTCTCCAACAGAGGGCTGACAAAGGTGCCTGAAAAAGTATGGAGGGTGAATCTGGATGTACCGCCTGAGGCGAGAAATGTATCACTGGATAGTACAGAGGACGACAAATGGTGGGAACAGATCGACCTCAACAAACTCATCCTAGCTTCCAACAAGTTAACTGAGATATCACCAGAGATTGTACAGCTGCCTGCGCTAGCAGTTTTGGATGTAAGTATCTGTGTTTTTACTGAATCTTTACAAGCCTTGGAGGAAGAAGAAGAGTCAGAAATGTTCAAAATTAGGGATAGTATTTCCCACAATAGCTTGTGATGATTAATTAGAATCAGGTTATTATTTATTTCTTGCTTCCGTGATTGTTTTGAAATCTGTCAGGCATAGTCATCCAAAAAGGATAAATCCACATTCATGTGTAGGGATAAGTCAATGATACCCACTCTGCTTTGATAGTCAATTGACACACCAGTGGGGTTGTTAGCTAGGTGACAGTTGATTGACAGAATTAGGTGGGTTTTGTCAAGAGCATTTTAGTAAGTTAAACAGTTAGTCCTGTTATTCTTGTTTGTGTCTTTGGACATAGACCTCAGCTAGAGAATGCCATTGATTTCTATCTCTGTCACTCATTTCCTTTTGAACTGTGGTTCTTTACCATGCTTCCTTGGGTTGGACCCTCTCATGAGCAGAGGGGTAAGATCTTTCACTCCAAACATAATACCTATTTTAATAGATGAAAAAACCAACTTAAAGAGCTGTTGAAACACATTTTTAAAAAATAGTGCACATTTTCTTAAATTAGCGACATATCTGCAGCTATTGTGCACTGGGCTTATCGCGCTGCATGAGCGGCGCGAGAATATTGCCAACAAGCTCTTTTCTAACGTTCTTGTACCAAATCACAAGGTGCATAAGCTCCTGCCGCCCAGGAATGTATCTAGGGTGGACTTAAGGAAAAAGCGCGCCTTTAATTTACCTGTGGTTCGTACGAACAGGTGCCATGATAGTTTTATCTTTCATCATTTACGTACGCTTTGTATAAGCTGACTCTATCTGTGTTACCTAATTTTTAATATTTTAAAAGTATGTTACCGTTTTTATATATTTCTTAAATTTGTAAATGAATACGTAATTCAACATTTGGTTGCAGTGTTTTTCTAATAAACTCTCTATCTATCTATCTATCTATCTATCTATCTATCTCAACTGCCTTCTGGTTAGCTCAATTGGTTAGAGTGCTGGACTGTTGTGCGGGAGGTCGAGGGTTGGAGCCCCGGCCAGACCAATACTCAAGGTCTTAAAATAAGTGAGAAGAATGTGCTACCTTTCTATAATGTCAAGAAATAGATAGAAATTCTAGTCTTCTCGGATAAGGACGAATAAACCATAGGTCCTGTCTCCTGCATCTATTAATTAGTTAATTTGGTTAGGCAGGGGACGTTAAAGAACCCACTCATGAGATTACTGTGATGTGGTCTGGCCTGTTTACTGGGAATTGGGGGGAGGGGGCATCTTCAACTTCCTTTGATCCATTGTAAACTGCTACAAGCAATCTGGTGAAGTCCCCTGCAAAGTGTTGTAAGAATGGTCCTGAAAAGCCCCATGGGGAGTGGTCATCTAACCTATGTATGCAATATTTACAGTCATCATTGTTATTATTTCAGATCCATGATAATTGCTTGACTTCTTTACCTGATGAGATTGGTCAGTTAGTGAACCTCAAAAGGCTCAACTTAAGGTGCCTTGAAAATAATCTTGCACTTAAAATTTTAATTATGGCAATTTAATGTATAACTCTGGGTTAAAATACTAATTACTGAGTAGTTACCAATTAAAAGTTTTTATTCTCCCTTTAATCAGTGCTCTTTCCAATATTCATTTTCTTGTTCACCCTGTTCTTCCTGATCATAAATACAATAAAAATCTTTTATACAATATTACATTTTATTACATCGCTCGCAGTGCCCGTCGGCAAGATGAAGTAAATCCTATGTTCTGATTGGCTGCCTGAGCAGGCAAGATGGGCCCATCTTGCCCACTTGGGATTGCCTGCACTGATCCCATGCATGAAAAAAATTGAATTAGAACTATATTCATAATTCTTGGACAATTTCAGCGATGGAAATGCAAAAAGCGGCAGAAGATAGTCAGTCAAAAAAAAAGAAAACAGAAATGACTCTCATGAGTTTGTTGTGCTAGAAACACAGTTGGCTTTCTTTCCTGGCTCTGAAAGTAAACAAGTCATTCTTAATTCTTAAAAAAGTGAAATCTTTTTACAATGTAATAAATCCTTTATCAACCAGGTATACTATGTTAGGGAAGGATGAGGGATGTTTTCCAAGACTTTTGTTTCAAGAGCCCAACTATAAATCTCTCAGCTGTTCTTACTAAAAAACAGTTCTGTTCATTTAGTAACATGATAACAGCCCATGGTGGTAATTCTTTGTTTTTAAATTTTTTTGTTATCAGTCACAACAAGCTGTCTTCCCTTCCAGTTTCCTTCGGAAGTCTTGTTAGTTTATCATCTCTAAAACTGGATCATAACAGTCTCACTTGTCTGGGAACAGATCTGGGACAGATGAAGCAATTGGAAGAACTGGTGAGAATAGTTGTATTAAATGGTGACAAAAAAAACATTTCACTATCACAAAAATCCAATTTTGTTTGTCAGGGTTTGTAATAACATTAATTCAATTTCTGTTATTAATTTAACGTATGATAGCTGCTGGTTGAGAGATATTTTTTAAACACTAAGCAATATGTTGACAACCCAACGATAATTGAATTAATTTTTAATGACATCATCTTTGTGTGTAGGATTTGTCAGACAATTCTCTCAGTGAGGTTTCTCCTTCCATTGGTAGCTGTCAAAGTTTACGGCAATTAAACTTGTCTCAAAATTCCTTGGAAAAGCTTCCTCTTGAGATTGGTCACCTACGTGGTAAGAATTAAGGGTTTAACCTTCACACCCTAACATCAGTATGTATATTCTCCATACTGTTCTTCTTACATTTCTTAAGGTGCTGACCAGGAGAATTTGTTAACAATTAATATCATTTTGAGTTGGTGATCATTTCCTTTATTCTTGTGACTGCAATGTTTGATAGGGTGCTTGTCACTCTTAAAAAAGCAAAAACTACTAACAAATGTGGACAAAAAAAAGTCAGACTGCTGAAAAACATTTATATCCAGTTTTATTGATCAATTTTGCTGCAGTATTGATATTTTTCTGTCAGTGGTAATAATAAAAGTATGACATCCAAATGTTTATTCTCTAGCATTAAGAGACTTGAATCTCAGTAATAACAAGTTTCATGAACTTCCAAAAGGTGAGTCTATTTTATATTATGCTTACTTGAAAAAACACAAACAAGGATTTATAAGTATTTAAATAAGTAATTGATAAATTATATAATATAATTGTTTGCAGGGAATATGCCTG